AGTTTCCTATTCCTGTTTGCTGGTCACAGTAAGGATAACCCTGAGTTCTGAGGAAGGGGAAAGAGGGCCAGGCCTAAGAAAGTGGAAGCTTTGATTATGCTGAGGGGAGCAAAGCCACTTAGCCTCGGGTTGGAGGTATGGGAGTGAGGAACTTGAGTCAAGTTTGAAGGTGGGTGTCTGCTGGTGTGTGTCATGGTAGCATGAATGGCAGACGAGTTTCTAAGCTCCAGTTTGGGAGTGAATCTGGCTTCTGAGCTGAGTCTGCTGGAGTAGAGAGGATACGCAAGCCAGAACTCTGACTCTGCCCAGAGCTGACCACTTCTACAACTGCACCTTCCTTGCTCACAAACCAGACTAATTGAGAGATGTCTCTGAGTAATTATGGTCTGTCAATCTAGGTCAGGCAGGAGGCTTGAGAAAATCTTAGACATCTGTTACTGGCCCATCCCTCCCAACTGCTATCCCTTCATTGTATACATTGGTGAAAACCATACTAGGGCAGAATTGAGCCCAAGGCCTTTAAAGGGTGTGCCCTGAGGCTCTGAACCTCGGGGTTTTGGATGCTAATGTCCTCCTGAATTCTGAATATAATAAAAGAGGGGTGCTTTCTTAGCTGTATGTTATAGATGGGGGATCTCTGCCAGATCTTGCAATGATTTATTGATACCATTGTGGCTAGAATAGTCTTAGAAGAGAGTTGGGGGGAGAGGCAGCTGCTTCATTCTTAGATGACCTGAAATAAAACAAAACATGTTATCCACTATAAACACCTGCCCTTGAAACTATGGCCTCAGAGTTTGAACCCAGATTTGTATATGTTTACTCACAGGCTTTTTGGACTCCTACTGTAGTGCTGTAGGATCAGTACTGGACTGCAAACCACAAGTTGGCAGTTCAAATCCACCAGCTGCTTCTCAAACCCTATACGGGTCACTATGAGTTGGAACTGCCTTGATGGCACTTAACAACAAAACATGGACTTTTTATTTATTAACAAGCCATTAAAATAAACATATTAAAAGCGTATTACAAAGCAGGGTCCTGCTCACTGTTGGGCAAATAATTGACACTCAACCTTGATGAATGAATGAGGGAATAAGCATCACTGTCCTTAATCAAGCTGGGCATGGTAGGTACCACCTGAGTCATGAAAGCAGGAGCCTATGGTAGGGTTTCTCCTGCCTTTGGGGTCAAAGCTTTTCCTCTGATTAAGTTGCACCTTCGGCTAGGTTAGGCCTGCTCCCCTACCTTTACCAGAATGGTTACCCTTTTATCCTTTAGGCTTTTCTTTCCATGACCCAAGGGAAAAGAACCTTTGCCCTAGTTCCTCCTAGTTTGAGGTGGGCTTGGGTTGTGGTCTTTTATCCTTTAGGCTTTTCTTTCCATGACCCAAGGGAAAAGAACCTTTGCCCTAGTTCCTCCTAGTTTGAGGTGGGCTTGGGTTGTGGTCTTTGAGTAAATAATGTTTTAAGTAGTCCTTTCCATTCCTACTACTACCCTTCCACTCTACCCTCATTTCTCTTCCCATTCAGGTACCCAAACAAAGCCTCAAATCTCAGGCAAGATGGTAGCATTTCACCCTGATGGTTTCGTTTCAAGCAGTGGATGCATCTGTGTGTGATGCACTCTTCGCCCTTTGCTGAGAAACTTCATTGGTTTTCCAATGCTGCAGTCTTCACAACCAGCCTACTCTTCCCTCTTCAACTAGCTCGCTCTCTTCTGGCCAAATCCCTTGCTTTCCCCAATCAAGTTTGGACAAACTAGTCTCCCAGCCATTTGGCCCTTTAACAACAACAACTTTACCTCATTTCTCACTTGTTTAAAAATCCCACTTTGCCTTCAGGATATAGCTAAGCTTCATCTCTTGCACAAAGCTGCCCATGACCTCTCTGGCCACAAAGACTATTCTTTTCCCTCACTCTGGCCCCTTTAGCTCTATTTGACAGCACTTGTTCAATATTTCCCACACAATCCCCTTGTATTTCTATGTATCTTGTGCATTCATTTAATATTTAAGTTAAAAATGATCTTTGTAGCCAAAGTGATTATTATAAAAGCTACAAATATGCAGAGGTACAGAGCAAAATGTAGAACTTCTCTCTCCTACCCACTACTATTTATTCAACTCTTCTCTATCCCCAAAGGTAACCACCCACAGGTATTTGGTATGCATTCTTTTACTTCCGTTTATAAATTTATGTCGCTGCACACTTAGGGTTGGGTAAGAGTACAAATAGGTTTGTCTCACATACATGATTCTGTACTTTTTGCACATAAGGATATGTGCTTTTTGTGTATGTGTGGTTATGCTTTTAGATTTTCCATGTTAGTATGGTTAGACCTATTGAGTGGCTTCTCAGTATTTTATAGTATTTAATCAAAGTATGGAGTGCTGGTGTGGCACTGTAGAATAAACACTGGACTGCTAACCACATAGTGGCTCAAACCCACCAGCTGCTCCTTGGAAACTATACAGTGACACTGTGAGTCAGAACTGACTTGGTGGTACTTAACAATCAAAACATTTGTTTAGGATCTTATTTAGAGGCATTGCACAGCTAGGACTTTGGGAACTCCAGACCTGAGCAGTGAGCAGAGGAGGGTTTTGGGGGAGGCGAGAAAACAGTGGGACATACACAAATAACAGCAATACAAAGAGGAATATAGTAATGTCCCTGAGAGTATGCCGGGAAGTGCAGAAATAGAAGACACTTGGAGCTAAGAGAATCAGGACATTGCAGAGGAGGTGGCTTTTGTGTTTGGACTGGAGGGAGCTTGACAGGTGAAGAAAGAGCATGAGCTGGAGCCAGAGATAGAAACACATGGTGATGCCAGATCATGGGTCATGAACAGGAAGGAGATTTAGTTCAATTCCACAAACAGTTATCAAGCATCTATGTGGCAGGTACCATGCTAGGCAATGAGGAGGTTCCTGTCTACAAGGCTTTCAGTTTAATGGAATAAAAGCCAGATTAGGGCCACATGATAGAAGCACTTATTGGTGTACCAAAGGGTCTGGATTTTATTCACTGTGCAATGTGGAATCAAGACAGGCATTTTAGGGGGCAGGTGACATGACTGTTACTATGTACTCGCTAGATGTACAGAGTGGACCAAATTAGGAAGAGACTGGGGATGAAGTGTTTACTAAAACATACACATTTACTTTTGCCTCAAAAGGTGCTTGGTAGTAGGCCATCCACCATCCTACCACATAGCTTCCGTCCTCATTGTTTCCTCTTTGTCTAATATGGCTGCTCAAGTTTAAGTCATCTCATTGATATTCCAGGCAGTAGAAAGGAAGTGGGAGGGAGACTAGAGGAGAGCATAACACCTAACTGAATTATCTCCCTTTCTGGAAGCCTAAGACAATACTTCCAACACTTCTATTTTGTCTTACTGGCCAAAACTTGGAGATGATCATACTCAGCTTTCAGGGAGACTTGGGAATATATATTTTTTCCTTTAAAAAATTATAATTTGCATGCAGTGAAATGCACGGATCTTAAACATACTTTTTGATAGGCTCTGATAAATGCATATACCCATGTAACCCGCATACCTATAAAGATTTCCATTACTCCAGAAGTCCCCTCTTGCTGAAGGAACATTTAAACAATTCAAGAGAGAGAGAATGAAGACTTAGGATGATAACCATAGGAATGGAAAGGAAAGGCTTAAGACACTAGAGGTAGAATACAAAGGAAATTGGATGGATGTGGGAGATGAGCAAAGAAATTGCTGACAGGAAAAAGAAATTGGGGGAGAATCTCAATTGTTGCAGGTGGGATAGAATGATGAGGTCTGAATAAAGTTTTGGGTGTGTTGAGTTTGAAGTGCAGGCCAAACATCCAGGTGGAGATACCCAGTAGGCAGTTGTGCCTAGAGTTTGGAAGGGCTGTCAACGTTCAGTGGTATAAAATGCCAGAGGGACACCAAGGAAGATAAGGACATGAAATGGACCACGAATTTGGTGTCTGTGATCTTGCTGATGACTTTTAAGGGAGCAGAATCCAGACACCAAGGCCTTTCAGTGGGCAGTGAGGGTTTAAATCATGCAGGAGGGACTGAAAGGTCATATGAAATAAATTTCAAACCGTAAAAAACAAAACTGAAATCCTCACACAAACATAAAAGGGGTATTCCCATTGCTATTTTAAGAAATTTAATGAAAGGAGAAAAAAATAATGTCAGAAGAACAGGGATTTTTTATATTCTTAAAGGAAAAAGTCCCTTACTCTCTTTTAATTAGCTTTCTAAAGGACAGCTCCCAAACTCCTTTTGAATATATGATCTTCAGAAACTCACACTGAAGGGGTGGAAGTGTGAGAAAGGGATATGCCACCTTTGACGGCTGCTGAGTTTGGATAGATGTGTGTAGACAGTTTAGTGGAAAGAGCCAAGAGCAGACACTTTGGACTTGGGCATTCCTGGGATTGGATCCTGTCTGTCACCACCTAGATGACCTATGGCAAGTTACTGGAGTACCCAGTTTCTTATCTGTAAGATGGAGCAATTCTAGCTTTCAAGGTGGGTTTGAGAATTAGAGACAAGTGCCTGACATACATTGTTGTTAAGCCGAGTTGATTCCAGAGACCCTGTATAGGGTTTCCAAAATTGCAGTTAGCAGTCCAATGCTTATCATACAAAGCCACACTAGCACACGGTTGTTAAGTGCCTAAGTGCTGTTGAGTCGGTTCCGACCCATAGCGACCCTGTATAGGGTTTCCAAGGATTGTCTGGTGAGCTTGAACCGCCTACCTTGTAGTTAAAACCGATCTTGCAAACCCAGCGCATTAACCCACAGCACCACTACAGGCGCTATGGAGAGATCCAACAACCCCTCACTATGGAAAAGAACAATTTAAGAGACAGATGGGTCAGAATCTGCGACCTCCAGATCTTAGAGGGAAGGGAGGGCTCCCTAAGGCCTCCTCCCTCCAGGAGGTGGGGACAAGGTGGAGGAAAGGCTTCGGGAGGAGGAGCTGGCGTGTGCGACCCGCCCCGTCCCGTCCAGTCTGGCCTGGATGATTGAAGGAACAGGTCTTAGTCGCCGCCAGCTGAACAGCCTGTCCTGGTGCCCACCCCGGCGCCCTGTCCCGCATCGAGTCATGACCCTGCGCCCCTCACTGCTGCTCCAGCTGCTGCTGCTCATTGGGGCGATGTGCCGGACAGAGGCTGGGGTTGAAACCGAAAGTCCTGTCCGGACCCTCCAAGTGGAGACCCTGGTGAGAAGGCGTCCTGGCCCCCAGTACTGCAGGCCGGGCCTTGTAAGGGCTACACGCTACACCGGCTCTAAATGAACCTGGGAGCGGGGAGAGGAGGAAATGCGGGAACTGAGTAGAGGGTGCTGGGTCTAGGGACGAGAACGGAATCTTTGGAGGAGGCTCCGTGACTCCTGTAGCCCAATCGTAGGTGGAGCCCCCAGAACCATGCGCGGAGCCTGCTGCCTACGGAGACACGCTTCACATCCACTACACGGTGAGGGGTCTGGGGGGCCGGGGCGGGGCGAGGGAGGGGGCGGTGCCCGGATGAAACACGTCAGCTTTGGCTTGGACACGTGGCGTGGCGAGCTGTTCAGCACGGGCCTCTAGGGTCGTCCAGCACGTGGCGGGGGGAGGGGCGCGCCTCCTTTCTGTCTGTTTCCTCTACTTGCTTTTCCGCCAGTTCCTCCTCAGCACTGAGAAGTGATGGGCGGAGAGATCTCTGAGAAGTGCCAGCCCTCTGGGGCTTCCCGTCCCTTTCTGCCCTGAGGGGAAGCTAGTCTGCAGTGGAAGGGGGTTGCCCTGCCCAGAAGCCCAGGTGTGTTTTTGCGTGCCTTCTGGGAGGAAGAGGTACTAGGAGTTCTCTTTTGATGCTCTCTTCCCCAGGGCAGCTTGGTAGATGGACGCATAATTGACACCTCTTTGACCCGTGATCCTTTGGTGATAGAACTTGGCCAAAAGCAGGTGATCCCAGGTATGTGACCTGCACCTCTCCCATTCCACCTCTAACCAATTTAAGCCCCTGCTTCAGCCTCTTTAAACCTTAATCTGCCCTAGAAATGTCCCCCTGGAGTGAGTAGCTACCCAAGGGCTCTACCATTCATTCCCAGAGTTTCAAATCTCACTTCTAATACCCCTCTTGCCCCATACTTAAGGAATTTGAGATGGGGGGACTTTGCCTTCTAGTGGGATTTGGGGAATGTGGGTAGCTTTTAGTTCAGTTGTGTCTTCTTCCTCAAGGGTTGGAGCAGAGCCTTCTAGACATGTGTGTGGGGTGAGTATCTGGGCAGGGCTGGGCTTGGCTTTCTCTGCCACCTCTACTCCTAGAGCAGGCAGGGGAACGAGGGGAAAGAGTGCTACTTTCACACTGGGCAGGGCAGTGGGAAGCCTGATGCCATCCAGAGCCTCTGTCGCTCTCTGGTTGTGGATGTTTTGACAGAATTAAGGCTTGTTGGGGCCCGCGTGGGAGAGTTTATGGTTTGGCTGTGAATGAGCTGAAGGTAGCCAGGTTTGGCTGGTGGCACTCCAGATAAATGAAGGCTCCTAGCCCACCTGGCCCCACCTTTGGTTGTATCTCACATTCCTTCCCTCAGAGAGAAGCGAAGGGCAATCATTCCTTCTCACTTGGCCTATGGAAAACGGGGATTTCCACCATCCATCCCAGGTAATCTGAGTAGGCCCTTCTCTCAGGCCATCAAAATATCCAGCCCCTAAGAGCTAAGCCATAGTGGTTATGAACTGGGCTGTGAACCGCAAGGTTGGCAGTTCGAAACTACCAGCTGTTCCGCAGGAGAAAGATGAGGCTTTTTGCTCCCGTAAAGATTTACAGCCTCGGAAACCCTGTACAGGGTCGCTGTGAGTCGGAACCAACTCCATGGCACATAACAACAACAACAAGAGCTAAAGAAGCCACATACTTTGGAACTACTGAACATCTAAACCACGTTTGCTAAAGGGGCAGGAGTGGCTGGGACTTCCTTCTGCAGGGCTACTATTTTCCTACTCAGATCATCAAGAGGGATTAGAGACACGAAACCTGTAAAGCTGGTGGCTTGGCTCCTGGTGGCCAATGACTTTTTATGGAGGAGACACCTGCTTGAGCCAGATAGGTCTGATGCCTGTGCCAACTCTGCTCTTCTCTCATGCCTTTTTCCTATGATTTCACACTGTATCATTTGTACAATTGACATGGCTTCTTAGCATATCTCCACCCCTTCTTTCAGCCTCCACCAGGGAATAGATAGTAAAAATGGTCACAAGTAATTTCTAACGTAAAACAAAAAGCAACTTTTAAAAGCCCTACTAGATTACTACTCATAAATATTCTTGAAGGCCTAAGACTGGACAGATTTCCCAGCATGCATCTCTATTGCTTCTGGTTATAACACATTTTCAGTTTCCCAATTCAGAGTACTGGGATCATAATTCCAGTTTAGAGGGAGGCCCAGAAAAAAAAAGGGGGAACTAGGGAGAAAAATCTTTACCCAAAGCTTTCTTCCCTCCCCATTCCTATGCTGTTTGCTTGCTCCTATTTGTACTCATCCTCATCCCTACTTAACTCCTGGTCCCCCACAAGGCCCCCCTTATGTCTTAAGCTACTTCCTTTTCTGCTTGGCTCTAATGTTGAAACTCCTATTTTCTCTAGTTCTTACACCGAGTACGCTCATTCATTGGTGGAATTAAAACAATTTCTAGTTTAAATCCAATTCATTTCAGCTCTGTAAACATTATATCCATGTGGCTGTTTGGAAATGGGAATATGAACAGGGGTACAGTTAGCATAGCTGGCTCTCTCATTTATCCATGAACTTGTAGTTTCAGATAGCACGTTTGCCTCTGCTATGAAAGACCTGGCACTGGGCCTGTGCCACACTTGTAGTTGGGGTCAACATGGCTACCACTAGATTGTGCATAACCTTCACTTGCCTTTGTCTAAGAGAACTCAACCTTGTGTTTAAATCTTGGTAGCTTCACAATTGTTGGCTTTACTGTAGCTCACCCTCCCTATTTTCATTCAGATTCTGAGCCCTGGATAAAATGTGCAGATTTCTAACCCTTACCCGTTTTCTGCCTCTCCAGCGGATGCAGTGCTGCAGTTTGATGTGGAGCTGATTGCACTGGTCCGAGCCAATTACTGGCAAAAGCTTGTGAAGGGCATTTTACCTCTGGTAGGCATAGCCATGGTGCCAGCTCTTCTGGGCCTCATTGGCTATCACCTATACAAAAAGGCCAACAGACCCAAAGTCTCCAAAAAGAAGCTCAAGGAAGAAAAACGAAACAAGAGCAAAAAGAAATAATAAATAATAATAATAAAACAACCTTCTTTGTATTCTTTACCAGGTACTTCCTGAGGTTACTTTGGTTAAGTGGGAATGAGTAAAGGGCTGGGGGCAAGAAAATTCTAGGTTGGCTCTTACTGGTATGGGTATGGTCAGAAGCCTTGGGTCACCTCTTTCCCTGGCTTCCTCTCATTTTCCTGGCTTACCCCAATGACCTGGTTTTGGATCCACCCAGAGAATCGCAGGGTCCCATGGTATCCTCATTCAGGAGCAATAAGCCTCCTGGTAGTGGCCTAGCTACTCTTTTCATTCCCTCGGACTGCAGTTCCTAGTGTTCTCAAAGTAGACTGCTCTGTCCAGTACAGCAAAAATATAAGGAGCTCATTAACCCCATGGGAACTTTTAATACCAAAGTCCTCAGGTCTCAAAAAATCTGGGGTTGGGAAGAAATGTTCTTGGTTCACAGGGTGTGAGGGATCACGTGGGCTGCTTCAATGATGTTGTAAGTGATTGGCTTTTGTTTGCCACTGGGCTGAGCCATAGGTGTGGACAAGGGCTGAGGTAAGTTGCTTCGATGGTTGACGATTAAGAGTGGGTTAAGCTGGCTCAGCACTTCATCACTCACTGAGATGCCATCCAGGTACTGCTTGAGCATCTCCCTCAGCTTGCAGTTGATTTCTAACAGTTGGGCTCGTCTGTGTTGGAGGCTCAGTTGCTCCAGTTTCACTTTGTTGTACCTTTTCCAGAAGTTCTCCATCCCTGTGTAGTCCAGCATCACCTGGGAGTTGAATAAAAGGGAGAAGGTATGCAGCAGGGCCCGTTAGTGTCTGCTGCCTAGTGTTCCATCAGCCCCAACCTTGAGCAGTGGCCTCAGGCTTTAGGAACTTTACCTTTGCCAGCTCCTCAGTAAGTTCTTCTGGGTTCGTTTCCTCTATCTCTGCCTGCTCCTCGGGGGTTAGTATTGATGAATAAAAAGGCAGCACTTTTTCTTCCTCTGTTTCATATTTCCTACATATTTCAGCAAGTTTGAGAATCTTTTCACCCTATGGGAAGTAGGAAGTGTTCTTTTATTAGGAAAGGGAGAAAAGAGGGAAGATAGTGGAATTGGTTCCTCGGCTTGAGCCTAGGGAAGCTACTCATCCACATGGGAGACAATAGTAAAAAATGTTTTGAATATATTTAAAATGTGAGAGGGGAGGGAACATGGAAGAAAAAAGGCACTGCCAGTGTCCACTCAGGAAGCAGGAGGGTTACTTTCTGCCCTCTTCTACCATCCCCAAACCTTTGTAGGCTTGTTGATTTTGTACTGACCACCCGCTCCCCTTTTTACCTTATCGACACTATTTCTCAGAGCCTTAAGGGTAGCATTACTTTCCAGGGTGAGCTTGACTAGATTCTCTTGTGATACTCCCCGGGCTTGAGTCCTTTGGGCCTTAAGTTTTCGTAGTTGTATAAGGACCAACTCCTTGTTATTACGAACATACTGGTTCTGATCTTCACTCTCTCGGCTGTGCACCATGATTTTGCCTTTTAAAACAACTATGGCATCCTAGTTGGGAGGAACAGAATAGATCAGAGAAAACATATGGCCAACTGAGGGGCTTTAGTGAGACAGCTAAATGGGCTGAAATCAGAATGTAATGTTTTTCCTTATCCAGTGATGAGGCTCAATGGGAACTGAAGGTAGAGGAACTAGGGATGATGGAGCAGTTACAGCTGGATTTCTGGCTGGATGCACTAACCTGTAGTTTCTGTATTTTTTTCATTTGGGCTTCAATCTCTTTGGAACTCTTCTCATCCTTCACCTTCAGGGTCTCAAAGGCAATCTTACGATCCTCTGTGGCATCAGTGTAATTCTTGAGTGCTTCCTGGAACCTTCTCCACAGATCTTCCACAATGTTTTCCAATTGCAGTCTTAGGAAGTGCTTCTCTTCTAAATTCTAGGAAGTGGCCCCAAAATAGCCAGTACTTGGAATCACTGTATTAGGGCCCTTTCACTTTCATCTGCAACCTCACCCCCTAGAACTGTTAGTCATGTAGTATAGTAAAAGGGTCACAAATGAAAATGCCCATAAAGATCAGGCAGATGGCATAAATAAGTGTTGTGGGCTGGGTGGGCCTACTAGAGAGGAAATGGTGGCAAACTAGAAAGGAAACGCTTCATTTAGAGGCAGGAGCTGCTCAGCTCCACATGAATGTGGCCATTTGGAAACTGACCCATCTTTCTGGGGTTTTGTTTTTAAGGGAGACTGAAAAGTTGGATTTTTATTTGAAATGCCTCAATCTTTAAATGTAGAAAGCTTATTTTTTAAATGCATAAAACACTGTGAGGCAAAATAAAAGCAAAGAATCCCATACTCAGGGCCAGGGTAACTATGTTTGCAACTTTCTAGATGACAGGAGGCACTTTAGGCCAAGGAGCAGGAGATCTGGATTCTCCAGACTCTCCCATAGGTCAGCAGCATGTCATTTTTCTTCTTTGGGCCCTCGTTTCCTAATCTGCCAATGGCAAATAAAGCCAGATGATCTCCTTGGTGCCTTTTAGCTTTAATATGCACTCCCTTGACATTTCAGAAGGGCCCTATTTCCCAACTAATTTTCACTAAATTACAAAAAGCAGTAGGGCTACCTAGAGTGGCTGTAGAGATTATCTTGACCTTTGGTGTCTGGAACACTGACCTCCAGCCTGGGTTAAAGGGGTCTTTTCTAGCTCTAACAGTCTTGAGCACTTTTCTCACTTCTTTCCTACCTCCTGCCTATCTTTCTCCCTCTGTACCTTGTTTTTGAGATCGTCCCACATGCTCTGGAACTCCAGCTTGCTTTCATATTCAGTGTCTATATAGTTCTGCTCCATAGCCATGAAGACATCTTGTAGGTAGTGAATCTCTTTCTCATGTTGGTCATTGATCATCTTCCTAAAGGACATAAGACACTGTCCCTGCTCTGAAGGATAAAGCATACAGACCAATAACAACTCAGAGCAGTATATAATAAAACTCCAGGCTCAGAGGAAGGAAGGGCTCTTTCCTTCTTAGGGCTGGGAAGAAATTTGAATACGATTTTTTTATATTGACTTTTGACTAGGTTTTGTTGTTAAGTGCTGTCACATTGGTTCCAACTTAAAGTGATCCTGTCTAGGGTTTCCAAGGAGCAGCTGGTGGGTTTGAACTGCTGATCTACTGGTTAGCAGTCCAGTGCTTATCCTCCAGCACCACACCACGACTCCTTTTGAATAGATAATGATCCAAAATTTTTTTAAAGTTCAAAATGTTATAGTGAGAAGTTTCCCTCCTGCCAAATGGACAGGGTTTTGAAAGTAGATAATGAGGGCATTACAGACATGGGACAAGGGAAGTGAAGGCTGTAATTTAAACCTGAATTAGTTTAGAAGGCCCTCATGATCTTCCCTGCAGGGACCACGGCTTCCCCCACTTCCTAGGACCCCTGTACCTTTCTGTCTCAAATTCCTTAGTTAGGGCCTCCAGCTCCATGCTGTAACTTTCCTCCAGGAGGCTGAGTCGGCGCCTCTGCAGGGCTAAGAGCTGATCAATACTGTGCAGGTGGCTGCGCAGGGCATGGGCATACTGCTCCTCAGCTTCTGCCAGGTCCTTAGCTAAAGACTGGGCAGGAAACAGAGTTACCATTTTAAATGATTGGCATCTATGCGAAAAAAGAAAAATGTATTCAGCTGGCTAGTTAGATTGCATGATATTTCCCCCAGTTCCTCATGGCAGTTCTTCGACTCTAGAGGTGCTGGCTCTATCACTCTTGAATGTAAAGCAAGAGCCTCATGGAGCCAGCCAACATCCTGGTGTTAGGTGCTACTGAGTTGATTCCGACTCACACTGATCCTCTATAGGGTTTCCAAGGTTGCAAATCTTTACAGGAACAGAAAGTCTCATCTTTCTTTATGGGAAGCAGCTGGTGGATTTAAATTTCTTATTTTGTAGTTAGCCTGATGCTTAACCCACAACACCATCAATGCTCCTTAGCCAATGGCTTAGGACAACAAACATTTACAAAAAACAAGGCCAAACCCACTACCATCGAGTCAATTGACCCTATATAGGGTTTCCAAGAGTGTAGATCTTTATAGGAGCAGACGGACTCATCTTTCTCCTGTGGTTAGCAGCCCAATGTACCACTTTGCCACAGGGCTCCTTCACAATGGCACAAAAAAGAACTAGAAATTCTTGGGAGAAATGGTTGTTTGAAGTCTGAGAAAGAAAATCAGCAAGCTGAGCTGAGAACAATAGCAAAGAAACTACAAAAGGCCACTAGAGTCATGCCAAAAGGATTCATTACTCAATAATACAGAGTAAATCAAAAGATGAGCACAGTATCTCCCATCCTACAATCTCTTATCACTTCTCCATTAAGAGGTGGAAACTTCTCTTCCATCTACTTGAATTTGGGCAGACCCTGTGACTGACTGCTTTGACTAGTAGAACATGGCAGAAATGACATTGTGCTAGTTCTAGGTATAGCTCTTAATCAGCCTGGCAGTTTTTTTCTGCCCCCTTGGAATGGTCTTTCTTGGGTTGCTCCATCTAGGAACCTAGCCTCCATGCTTTGAGAAGCTCAATGCACATGGGAGGAATGTATGAACTTCCAGTTAACAGCATAGCTAAGTTCCTAGCTGACAGCCAGAATCAACTGCCAGCCGCCGGGATGCCCAACCCAGTAAAGCCTTCAAGAAGACTTCAGCCACAGCTGACATCTGTTTGAAGCTATATGAGAGGCTCCAAACAAGAACCACTCTAGTGAACTCAGTCAACCTACAGAATCATGAGAGACAAATCAATTGTTTTAAACCACCAATTCAGAGGCGGTTTGTCATGAAGCAACAGATAACTTTCACTGGAAATAAAGGGAACTTTTGAGCACCGACAAGGATAATAACTGCAAAGGATCGAAACACATCAAGTGTGTTTGGTTTTTGAGTTCATAAAACCAAACAAGTTGCCATCAAGTTGATTCTGACTCATAGGGACTCTATAGGACAGAGTTGCAAATCTTTACAGAAATCATTTGCCACATTTTTCTCTTGCAGGGCACCTGGCAGTTTCGAACTTTCTGGTTAACAGCTGAGTGCTTAACCATGGCACCACCAGGACTCCTATGAATTCATAGTACATTTACAAAATGTAATCAGTTACCACTGGAGGATGCCAAATGACCTTTTTCTTTTTTTCCTAGTTGAAAACTGGTAAGTAAAGGAAAGGAAAAGAATCAATTATTTATCCTGCCTTTAGTATACAGACTTTGTTGTCGTTGTTAGGGACCAGTGAATTGGTTCTGATTATAGTGACCCTATGTACAGCAAAACAAAACACTGCCTAGTTCTGAGCCATCCTCACAGTCTGAGCCCATTGTTGCATCTACTATGTCACTCCATCTCGTTGAGGGTCTTCCTTTTTTCACTGACCCTTATCAGGAATGATGTCCTTCTTAGTAATAACATGTCGAAAGTAAGTGAGACAAAGTCTCACCATCCACACGTCTATGGAGGCTTCTGGCTTTGCTTCTTCCAAGACAGATTCGTCCGTTTTACTGGCAGTCCATGCTATATTTAATATTCTCTGCCAGCTCCATAATTCAAAGACATCAGTTCTCCTTTGGTCTCCCTTATTCATCGTCTAGCTTTTGCAGTCATATGAGGTGATTGAAAGTATCATGGCTTGGGTCAGGCACACCCTAGTTCTCAAAGTGACTTTTGGCTTTTGAAAACTTTAAAGAGGTCTTCCTCAGAAGATCTGCCCGGTGCAATACTTTGTTTGATTTTTTGACTGCTGCATCCATGGTGTGGCGATGTGGGTTAATGCGCCAGACTGCAAATCTGTTTGAACTGTAAGGTTGGCGGTTCAAGCTCACCAGTTGCTCCTTGGAAACCCTATAGAGGGTCACTATGGGTCTGAATCGACTCGACGGCACTTGACAACAACAACAATGTCCATGGTGTGGTGCTGAAGGATAATGCACTGGATTACAAGGTTGGTAAGAACCACAAGGTTGGCAGTTCAAACTCACCAGCCACTCCTCGGAAACTCTATATAGGATTGCTATGAGTTGGAACCAACTTGACGGCACTTAACAACAACAACAACTTCTATGGGCACCGATGGTATTTTTTTTACAAAATAAAATCCTTAACAACCTCAATACTTTCTCCATTTGTCATGTTGTTTACTGGTCCAATTGTGAAGATTTTACTTTTCTGTATGTTGAGGTGTAATCCATATTCAAAGCTGTAGTGTTTGATCTTTATCAACAAATGCTTCAAGTCCTCTTCTCTTTCAGCAAGCAAAGTCGTGTCATCTGCATATCACAGGTAACTAATTAAGTCTTCCTCTAATCCTGATCCCACGCTCTTCTTCATATAGTTCACTTTCTTTGATTATTTGAGCCACATACAGACTGTGTAAGTATGGTGAAGGGATACAACCCTGACTCTTACCTCTGCTGATTTTAACCGTTCAGTATCCTTTTGTTCAGTTCAAACAATGACCGCTTGGTCTATGTACAGTATTTGCATGAGTACAATTAAGTGTTCTGGAATTCCCATTCTTCGTAGTATGTTCATAATTTATTACGTTCCACACAGTCAAATGCCTTTGTATAGTCAACAAAACACAGGTAAACATCTTTCTAGTATTCTCTGCTTTCAGCCAAGATCCCTCATTCTACATCCAATAATATTCTACATCCTCGTCTGAATCTGGTTTGAATTTCTGGAAGTTCCCTCTTAACCTAAATTTTGTTTGTTTGTTTGTTTTTAATTATATCTGGCAAAATTTTACTCGTGTGATATTAATGATACTATTAGATAGTTTCCTTATTCTATTTACTCAGAATTCTTTAGAATGGGCACAAATATTGGATCCCTTCCAGTTGGCTGGTCAGGTAGCTGTCTCCCAAATTTCTTGGCATAGATGAATACTTTCAGTGTTGAATCCATTTGTTGAAACATCTCAGTTGTTATCTGTTGATTCCTGGAATGTTGTTTTTTGCCAATACCTTCAGTTCACCTTAGACTGGTTCCTTCAGTACCAGAGGTTCTTGATCATATGTTACCTCCTGAAATGGCTGAATGTTGACCAATTACTTTTGGTACAGTGACCCATTGTATTCCTTCCATCTTCTTTTGATGCTTCCTGCATTGTTCAATAGTTTGCCCATCCTTCATACTGCAATTTAGGCTTGAATGTTTTTCTTCAGTTCTTTCTTTGAGAAATGCCAAGCATGTTCTTCCCTTTTGGTTTTCTAGCTCCAGGTCTTTGCACATTTCATTATAATAATTTTGTCTTCTTGAGCCACCCTTCTGTTCAGCTCTTTTACTTCATCATTGCTTCTGTTCAATTTAGCTACTTTATATTCAAGAGCAAGTTTCAGATTCTCTTCTAGTTTTTGCTTTCTTTCCTGTCTTTTAAATAACCTTTTGCTTTCTTCAAAATGATGTCCTTAATGCCATCCCACAACTCATCTGGTCTTTGGTCATTAGTATTTGATATGTCAAACCTACTCTTGAGATAGTCATTAAATTTAGGTGGGATATACTCAAGGTCATACTTTGGCTCTTGTGGACTTGTTTTAATTTTCTTCAGTTTCAACTTGAACTTGCATATGAGCAAGCAATGATCTACTCCACAGTCGGCCCCTGGCCTTGTTCTGACTTATATTGAGCTTCTCCACTTTCTCTGCAGATGTAGTTGACTTGATTTCTGTGTATTCCATCTGGTGAGGCCAACATATATAGTCACCGTAAAAAAATCTATATAGGAATAGATTTTTGGTCTTGCAAAATTCTGTCATGCAATCTCTGTGTCATTTGTATCACCAAGGCCACCATATTTTCCAACTATAGATTCTTCTTTGTTTCTAACTTTCACATTCCAATCACGAGAAATTACCAATGCATCTGGTTTGCATGTTTGATTAATTTCATACTGTAGATGTTGGTTGTTGTTAAATGCCATCAAATTGGTTCTAACTCATAGAGACCCTGTATAGTGTTTCTGAGGCTATACATCTTGGTGGGAACACAAAGTCTCATCTTTCTACCATGAAGCAGGTAGTGGACTTAAACCACCAAAATTGTGGTTCATATCCAGTGTTTATCATACAGAGCTACCATAGTCCTTTGAAGTTGATAAAAATCTTCAGTTTCTTTACTTTGGCATTAGTGGTTGCTGTGTAAATTTAAGTAAGTGTAAGTTTAATAGCTGCATTAATAGTGTCCTTGTGTGGTGCTGTAGGATAAACACTAAATTGCTAACTGCATGGTCGGTGGTTCAAAACCACCAGCCTCTCCTTGGACGCTATGAGTCAGAATTGACTGGACAGTACTTAACAACAGTTCTTATTAACTGGTCTTCCTTCTTCTTGTTGTTAAGTGCCATCAAGTCGGTTCTGACTCATAGTGACCCTGTATAGGGTTTCCGAAGAGAAGCTGGTAAGCTTGAACTGTTGACCTTGCAGTTCAAACTGACCTTGCAGTCTAGTGCATTAACCCACAATGCCATACCAGGATTCCGGTCTTCCTTGTAGATAGATGTAGCAACAATTGTGGGGTTGATGCAGGACTGAGCAGTGTTTCAGTCTGTTGTGCATAAGGTTGCTATGCATCAGTACCAATTCGGTGGCACCTAACAACGGCAGAAATAGTCCAGATGAGAGATGCCCAGGTTCCAACTACAGCAAGTTACTGGGAAAGAGTAGAGTATGGCTTTGAAATATACTTAAACAGAAAATTATATTAGACAGTAACAGAGGTCTGTGATGAAAGAAAAATTTAGAATGATTTCCAGATTTCAGGGCTGGGTGATTTGGTGAATTACTGGCCACTCCAGTAGATAAAGTATAAAAGGAAGACCAGATTGTGGAGGATGGGAAATGGGATGACTGGGAAAGGGAGCTCATGAGTTCAGTTGTGAGGACAATGGAACAATCGGGAAGAAATATCTAGAAAGCTTACCTATAAGGATTTACAACTCAAGAAAAATCCAGGCTGGTGTTACAGATGTGGGAGTCAATATATAAGTAATATTTAAAGCAAGCCTATGAGTAATATTGGTGCTTATGTGTCGTGGAGTCGGTTCTGACTCATAGCAACCCTGTACAGGGTTTCCAAGGCTATAAATCTTTGCGGGAGCAGAAAGCCTCATCTTTCTCCCGCAGAACAGCTGGTAGTTTCGAACTGCTGACCTTGTGTCCTGGTGTGGTGCTGTGGGTTAATGTGCTAGACTGCAAAGCCATTTGAATGGCAAGGTCGGTGGTTCAAGCTCACCAGCTGCTCCTCGGAAACCCTATAGAGGGTCGCTATGGGTCAGAGTCGACTCGATGGCACTTAACAACAACAAAATGAGTAATATTGTCTAAATCCTAGGTACTTAGAGATGCCTAGGCTCAGAAACCTGGGGAACATTACATTTCAGTGGCTGGAGAGAGAAAGAGGAACTCACAAAGGGAACTGGATGTAAACTCCAGGGAGAAAATCCTGGGAAGAATGATGCCAAAGGAGAGTTTCAAGAACTAGGGCCTGACCAAGAGAGTCAGTGCCATAGAGCGGTCAGATTTGATGATGACTAGTAAATGATGAAAAGTATCCACAATTCTGAAGTGGTGGTTTTCACCAGAGCAGTTTCCTGGAGAATGGTGGAAACCAGGTGTTGTGTGGTGCAGAGCAAATGGGAGGTGAAAAAATGGCGATAACAAGTGAGGATTGCTAACATTTGCACATTTAACATGTGCGGTTTTAGTTATTCAGGAATGACCCCGAAAGTGCTTCATCTTAGCAATGTTTGATTTGCTAAGGCAGAAGGGGCTGTAATCATAAACTGCAAGGTTGTTGTGTAGGAAGAAGCTAATTTGTTCATGGATGAGCTTGGCTCACTGCTCAGCAACCCTAAAATGAACACTTTACATCAAATACTTGGTAATTCCAAATAAGAGTCTGAAAAAAAAAAATCACTTCAAAAGCCATGGCGTGAAAACTTCCATGGTATAATGTTTTTTTTTTCAAATCTGGGGACTCTTAATATGTATCACTTGAAGCTGCTTAGAGTCTGAATCTTTTCCCCAGAGGTTTGGCTGTGAAGGAGAAATGTATTTTCTAAAGGGAAGATACAAGACCGACAATATATGTTTTGCTGTTATTATGGAATATTTTTCAAATAGAGAAGTAAGGAGGAGTCAGTAAACACAGGTTAAAAATAAGATGAAAGAGGATACAGCAAAATCCCTTAGAGGAGAAATGAACATGGATAAAATGAAAAAAACTCAAGAACCTCCCAAGAGCATATGGAGGTCTGATTGAATTGCTTAGAGATCCAGAACTGCTCTTACTCTTGGAGATATTAGCCATCTGACTTAGGGCCAAAGAAGCTGATCAAAGAGGCCAGTTTCAATGACAAAAGCACTAGAGTGAGAGTCAAGAAAACTGTAATCTACGCTCAACTCTCTCACTAGCTGTGTGACCTTGGGCAACTATCTTGTGGTGGTGGTGGTGTTAAGTACTGTTGAGTTGGTTCTGACCCATAGCGACCCTGCATAGGGTTTCCAGGGAGCAGCTGGTGAGCTTGAACCACCAACCTTATGGATCAAATTGATTTCGCAATCCAGCATATTAACCCACAGTGCCACACCAGGAATTCCTCTCAATATGAGACTTCTCACATTGAAATGAAGGTGTGGGACTAAGTTCAAGTCATTAAGTGATGTCTATTAAGGACAAGGTTGTGTTCTTTCACCATCCTTATTCAACCTGTATGCTGAGCAAATAATACGAGAACCTGGGTTCTATGAAGAAAAATGTTGCGTCAGGATTTGAGGAAGACTCATTAACAACCTGCGATATGCAGATGATACAACCTTGCTTGCTGAAAGTAAAGAGGACTTGAAATATTTACTGATGAAGATCAAAGAACACAGCCTTCAGTATGGGTTGCATCTCAATGTCAGAAAAACAAAAATCCTCACCACTGGACCAATAAACAACATTCTTATCAATGGAGAAAAAATTGAAGTTGTCAAGGACTTCATTCTTCTTGGATCAACTATCAACACTCGTGGAAGCAGCAGTCAAGAGATCAGACGACGTATTGCATTGGGCAAATCTGCTGCACAGGAACTTTTTAAAGTGTTGAAGAGCAGAGACGTCAGCTTGAGGACTAAAGTGCACCTGACCCAAGCCATGGTATTTTCAATAACCTCATATGGATGCGAAAGCTGGACAGTGAATAAGGAAGATCGTAGAAGAATTGATGCCTTTGAGTTGTGGTGTTGGAGGAGAATACTAAAAGTGCCATGGGATGCCAAAAGAACCAATAGATCTATTTTGGAAGAAGTGCAGCCAGAGTGCTCCTTGGAGGGCAAGATGGCTAAACTTAGGTCTCTCATACTTTGGACATATTGTCAGGAGGGAACAGTCACTGGAGAAGGATGTCATGCTGGGTAAGGTGGAGTGTCAGAGAAAAAGAGGAAGACCCCTAACGAGATGGATCAGCCAGGTGGCATCATTGATGGCGTCAAGTGTGGCAGCGGTAGTGAGGTTGGCCCAGGATCGGACATTGTTTCGTTCTGCTGTGCATGGGGTCGCTAAGAGTCGGTTCCGACTCGATGGCACCTGACAACAACAGCAACATTAAGGAGCTCTGGTAGCATAGTGGTTATGAATTGGGCTGCTAACCTCAAGGTCGGCAGTTCAACACTATCAGCTGTTCCTCAGGAGAAAGATGAGGCTTTCTGCTCCCGTTAAAGATTTGCAGCCTCGGAAGCCCTGTGCAAGGTCACTATGAGTCGGAACCTACTCCATGGTACTTAACAACAACAACAACATTATGCCTTATGAGTCCTGGTGTGGCGCTGTGGGGTAATGCGCTGAACTGCAAGGTTGGTTTGAACGGCACAGCTGGTGGTTCAAGTTCACCAACCGCTTTTCAGAAACCCTACACAGGGTTGGATGACTCGATGGCACTTAACAACACATGCCTTATAACTGTAACATTATAAAGTACTGGTTTGGGACAGCAGAGAGCCAAGGAGAATGGCTCCTCTAATGGAGGAAAAGGGATAGAAGTCTAATATTCTATTTCTCATTTCATTGAAACGTTACTACCCATAGCCTGGCTTTGTCACAACCTGCTATCTGGCCAGGACTTTGAAACCGATTAATTCAATAATGAACTATATTAGGAAGTCAAAGCAACCATACTCACGTGTTTCCTTGGGAAGTGTGCTTACCTTGATGACACTGTCCTTGCAGTCCACAACTCGTTCAAATGTTTGGCTAAGGATCTCAATGTCTTTATGAAGCTCTTTAGTTTTGACTTCTCGAAGGACAGTTCTCCACTGTGTGTTAATCTTATTAAGGTTCAGAGCACTGTTGTGCTCCTCCTTGGCCAGTTTGTCCTATGTGACGGAATAAACATCCCCCCAGGAGGTCAGTGCCCAAAGCTGTAACACTGTACAACAAACAAGATCACACTTAGTTTATCAGCTGACACCTGACTGCCTTGTCTTTTCTGGGCTATCAAAGCAGTAACAGCCTCCTAGCATTTTAGGGAGGACAAGAGTGAATTTCCCTCAGGGTGATGGCATCGGAGCAGGATGTTGTTTTTAATGAACCTATCTCTGGAGCGAACAGCAGAATTTGAGACAGCTGACAGTAGTTCCTGCTCCAGTTATGGTGCTCACAAAATTCTGGAACACCTTCCCCCCAGGTCCCACCCCCATGTTTGGCAGAGAACTTTTCTCCCCCACAACAATGTTGCCTGAATTCTCAGTATATCTGCATCTCAAGATTTTAGGAGGAGAGGCCATGATGAAAATGAGGATACAACAATGACAGGGTTGAAGAGACAAACGTAGAGCTGGGGGGTGCTGGTGGGGGGCAGAACATAATGCAAAAGGCCATCACCTTCAAGAACTGGCTCAGGAGCCTCTCCTTCTTCTTGGCCATCTCTTCATCTGCCAACAACTTCTGCTGAAACAGAAGGAGCTGCTCCTCATCGGACAGGGGCGTCTTTTTCCTTTTCTTGGGCATGGCTATGCTGAGGACTGGACTTGGACAGGAAGCTTCGGCCTACCTTGGCCCGCGTTAGAAAACGTGTCTTGAAAGGGGGCTTCCCAGAACTACCCTTGTGCGACAGTGGGACCTTAAATCTCCGCCCTCAGTCAAAAGAAATTCCTGGTTAGCGGCGAAAATGGGTTCCCTAGCGTCGCTAGGTTTCATCTCTATCTCCTAGCAACACGGAGCTAGGCTCGAGGGGAGGGCTGAGAGGAGAGACCCTGGGCTTGGAGCGCCCCCTGCTCGCTGGAGGACTGCGGTCCGTTTTTGAGAGAGGATCGTTTCAAAAGTGGTTACCAGGGTTGGGGATTCACTCTCTAGATAGTAGTTGTTGTTGTTAAGTGCTAGTTTAAACTCAGAGCGACCCAGTTTTTGAGGCTTTAAACCTTTTTGTGGGAGCAGTTTTGCCTAATGCAGTATGTCTATTTTTTTTTTAATGTTTTATTGTGAATTATGTGATAGTTTACATGGGAGAACATTAGCTTTACATTCATCCTATCATATATTATTTCATTGCCATGATTACAATCCCCTCCATGCATCATCAGACCAAACTAAAGCCTGCCCCTCGGTCATCAGCATATAGCCCCTCTCCCTCTCTGGGTCTAGAGTCCCCAGCTGCTCATCTCCATGTCATCATCTCTGCCTCCATCTCTAGCATCACTGTTTCTTTGGGTAGGGTCCTGCACTCTGCTCTTCTCCCTTGATGGTCCCAGGGGCCTCTGCTCCTGGACTGCAAAGTTAATCACTCCCCTCCTTTTGCTGCAAAACATCTACCATTACATTTCCAACCCTCACAGTCAGTCCTGATAGCAATTATTCACTATTGTACCACAAGACTCCTATCCCCATCTCCTTTCATCAGCCCCATCCAGACAGACTGGATACTACTCAGTGGAGATTCCACCTTCCACCTTGCCCTCTGGCTCTAAGTTGTCTCTGGAAAGTTTGTAAGCCAGTCACTTCTTGCCTTTGGAGGCCCCCAACCCCGACCCCATTTGGGGTAGCCAATGTCCAAGTTGCCCATCCCTGTCTACTCTGTGTATGGAGGGGGTGAGGATGACCCTCACTATAAAGATTTATTCCCTTTTTTGAGCTACTGCATCCATAGGTGTAGGTCAAGTTCATCAAGTTGTATCAAATTACTCTTTTTTTTTCCCCCTCTTTCTTCTTCTGGTTGAGCTCTGATCGAGTCATTGAAGCCAGGTCAAGTGGGTATTATCTGCAAGTGTGGGTGTTCTTGTGCCTATCCCCTCACTTCTTATCAGCTGGACACTTCACTCTATACTCTAGCCCTCTGTGGCTATGCCACTGACTCTGGGCCCAGGAGTCCTCAGGTCTTGCCATACTGCTGGCCAACCAGGCCTCCAGCTGGGTTCACAGGAGTCTATTTAATGTGGTAGGACTTAGCTCCCAGCTTCATTGCTGTTTTTCCCTCACTTCCCCTTATTGGTGACCAACGTGGTCAGACTGCATGTCTGCTCATGTATTCCCTTTGAGTCTTAGTTTTGGAAGAGCATTTTCTGAGGGGACCAGACCACTTGCCTTTATGTCTCCTGGGCGAACAACTTGCTTGTTCTTGTAGTAGATCTCTGTTCCTATGTATTTACCTTCTTTCACATTGTAATTGTTCTGATCATAGACTGACCTCCCAGATCCTCTGAGTTTGTTCTTATAGTTTTGTTCTGTTCTTGACTCTTCCATTTGTAGATTGAGTTCCGGGAGGTGCTGCCACGAATGTCAACTTTTGATTGTTGACTGTTCTTGTTGGTTCTCAGTCCACAGAACTCCCATTAGGATGTTTGGCAAAATCCCTTAGCTTCTGTTTATCCTGGAATGTTTTGATTACACCATTGTATTTGATTGATATTAACCTTTGCTGGATAAAGGATTCTTGGTTGGCAGTTTTTTCCTTTCAGAGTTTAATATATGTCTCCCCATTGCCTTCTTGCCTGCATGGTTTCTGCTGAGAGATCCGGGTTAATCTGACTTGCTTGCCTTTGTATGTAATGTTTCTCTTTTCCCTAGCTGCTTTCTGGATTGCTCCTTATCTTTGATTTTGGAGAGCTTGATTATGATATGTCTCGGTGATTTTCGTTTGGGGTCTAGCCTTCCTGGGGTTCATTGAGCTTCTTGAATGCTTATCTTTTCACCTTTCAGGATGTTCAAGAAATTTTCTTCCAGCTGCTCTTCAACTATCTTCACTGTGGTCTTGTGTGATTCTTCCTGTTCCGGAACGCAGATAATTCCTAAGTTATTCCTTTTCATGTTGTCCAACATGAATCTTAGACCTTCTTATGGATTTTTTTAATCCCTCTTTCTGCTTGCTCTTCTGTCTTAGTAGTATTGAGAGATTTGTCTTCCAGATCACTAGGTCTGGCTTCCATCACTTCAATTTTGCTCCTTTGCCTTTTCAGTGTATTGTCTATTTCTGATATTCTATTATTAATCATTTGGACCACTTTCTGTAGGTTTTGAATTATTTCCAATGCTCTATCTATCTTATTTGATTATTCCTGTAGCACTTTCCTGACTTCTTCCTTATTTTTCTCAACTCCATTGTAAAATGTTTTGAAACATTTTATAATCATTTTTCTGAATTCTTTCTCAGATATTTCCAAGGCTTGGCCTCCTTCCAGAATGGAGTCTAGGTCTATCTCTAATACATTTATCCCAGACATTTTATCTTGTTTCTGAACATGTGCTGATATGGTCATCTGTTTTTGCTTCTTGGACATGTTCAGTGGTTAACTGTGGCCTGAATACTTAATTGAGTGTGTGTTTTGGTATTTTTTATGCTTTCTGATTGCCTCCAGATAGATGTGATCAGGAGGTGGGATTTCCTTTTCACTCTTCTTATTGCTTAACTCAGAATAACTTTGGTAGGTGTTGTCTGCCTCCTTGTTGTATGGCAGTTGGTTTTGGTTCTTGCCTGGATTGTGGGTTTTATAGGGTGTGATTGTAGCTTGACTATATGGCAGCAATTGCTGTCTCTTCTTGGGTAATATAGGGAGAGAAAGAACCCCCTAAAGGTAAAAGGGGGAACCAAAACAAACAAACAAAAACACTAAAACAGATTGGATACTATAGTCTATAATCGCAGAAAACAGAGAGGAGAGAGAGGAAAAAAAAAATCTGTAGTCTAATATGAGTATGGCTTTAATATTCTCTTTCAGCTTCTTGCTTTCAAGGCCACCTGATAAATTTCAAGATGCCACTGTTGGTTGTTATGCTATACGTCAGGATTTAATTTTCAGCCTGTTTTGTTTTTAGATTGTCTCCTACTCCACACCCCCTGTTCTGGCCTTTTCTCTATTAATAAACAGTTCAGGGCTGGCTATGGCTGTTTTGCACTGCCGCTGGTTTTAAACGGGGACTAGCCCTTTGACTGCTGAGAGGATCTGTGCACATGCATAATAGAAGAACCCTCCAGTGGTGGGGGTGGGAGGTGTCCACTCACTCAGGCACCCCTTCTAGTCACCAGAAGGGAGGTGCGCAGACAGCAAGAGGCCAATGAACAGATACCAAAAAAAAAAAAAAAAAATCAGAACAAAACCAAAGCAAACAACAAATATTGTTTACCTTTGTCTCCAAGATTCCCACAGGCATTAGTCTGTGGCGGGACTGCTTCCTGCTTGGTCTTGCTGTTTGGTCTCGCCCAAGTTGTTGGCTCCTAGCCGCTGAGCCTTGCAGATTCAAAAGTACGAGATTTCTTGTTTCTGCTACAAGTTCCACTAGCCATAAGCCTTCACACTTTTAAAAATATTCCTATATATGTGGTTCAGAGTTTTGGAGCTCTCCCCTGAATCCACTTTGCCTGGTATTCTGTGTTATTGCAGATGGAAGTCTTCACTTTCTTTTTATATGATATTCTTGATGTCATCCCACAATTCTTCTGATCTTTGGTCTTCATCGTCTAATGCGTCAAATCTGTTCTTGAGATAATCTCTAAATTCAAGTGGGATATGTTCAAGATCATATTTTGGCTCTCATGGATTTCTTTTAATTTTCTTCAGCTTCAGCCTGAACTTGCATGCAAGCAATTGATGGTCTTTTCCACAGTCTGCCTCTGGCCTTGTTTTGGCTGATGATATGGAACTTTTCCATCATCTCTTCCCACAGATGTAGTCTATTTGATTTCTGTGTATTCCATCTGGTGAAGTTCATGTGCTTAGTTGTCTTTTATGTTGTTTACAAAAGGTGTTTGCAATGAAGAAGTCATTGGTCTTGCAAAATTCTATCATGTGATCTCCAGCATGATTTCTATCATCAAGGCCATATTTTCCAACTACTGATCCTTCCTCGTTGTTTCCAATCTTTGCATTTCAATCACCAGTAATTATCAATTCAACTTGGTCATGTCTGATCAATTTCAGAAGTTGGTAGAATTCATCATCACTAGCTTTAGTGGTTGGTGCATACATTTGAATAATAGTTGTATTAGCTGGTCTTCCTTGTAGGCGTGTGTATATTATCCTATTGCAGACAGTGTTGTACTTCAAGACAGATACTTGGAATGTTCTTTTTGGTAATAAATGTGATGCCATTCCTCTTCAATTTGTCATTCCTGGCATAGTAAACCATGTGTTTATCAGATTCAAAATGACCAATACCAGTCCATTTCAGCTCACTAATGCCTAGGATATCAATGTTTATGTGTTCCGTTTCATTTTTCACAATTCCAATTTTTCTAGATTTATACTTTGTACAGTCCATGTTCTGATTATTAGTGGATATTTACAGATGTTTCTCTTCATTTTGAGTTGTGCCCCATCAGCAAATGAAGGTCCCATTCACATCATCATGGTCGACTCTACTTTGAGGAGGCAGCTCTTCCCCAGTCATATTTTGAATGCCTTCCAACCTGAGGGGCTCATCTTTGGCACTATATCTGGCAATATTATGGTACTCGTCATCCTGTTTCAAAATTCAAAATTCTGGTGTTGACAAGTGTTACACTGCTATTCACAAGCTTC